GCATTGATAAATTTAAAAATATTTGTATTGACAAATTCTATGAATGTTTTTATTGATGTTTGTATACTTCATATTTTTATGGATGCTTGATATTTTTAAAAAAATGAATCTGTAAACGTATGACAATAGATGGCTAGACAAATTTGGTTTGTTTGGCAAATGACACCAGAATAATCCAAATTGTTTGAAAATGTATAACCGAACAGGCCCATCATACATTTAGAAAAGAAAATTAATGTTTTAAGGAAAATGAATCAATAAACATGCAGTAACAGATAGTTGGACAAATATAGTTTGTTCAGTAACATAACACCAGAGTAATTCAAAAGGCATAGGTTTAATGAGAAAAATTTGTAGGGATTTTGAAAATAGTTTAGTTTAGGGTTAGTTTTGATATTCTGGAGGCTGTAATGAGAATTTCAATTACTTCTTAAAGGTGTAATGAGAAAATATGTGTAAAGAGGTAACATTGTAGTGTAAGTAGAATTTCCCTATTATTAAATCAGTAGGAGACTAATAGGTGACCCGTGCGATGCACGGAAAATTTATTTTTAAAATGAAAAATTAATTTTTTAGTCTTGATATTTTATGTGTAAAAAATTTTAACAACTGAAAGCCAAATACAAACAGATTTGATAAAGGTTGATGAAAATTTTTGTCACTGTGTGTGATCTTATATAAAATAGGCTCATAAAAATAATTTCTTTTAAAGTTTAAAAAAAAGATGTATTCTTAGCCTGAAATCAAATTCTCATATGTTAATCAAAATTACAAAAAATCATGAATAACACTTGTATCAAAATATTTTTTTCTGAAAAAAGTAAAAACAACGGAAAATTCTATAATATACAAATTATGACTTAATTATAACTCATGGTGTATTATTTTGGTTATTAATTGAAAAGGTATTTGCTAATTTCTTATGTTTTTGGTTATATCTAAAGTGGTGCATCAGATATTTAATTATACTTCAAGTGGTATTTGATTATGATCTATTATAATATTTTTATATGATAATATTTAAGTATTTTATTACAGAAAAAAATATTAAGGTGGGTTGACTCAAGTATAGGATTTATGCTTATATTAGTAAGATCGTAAAAGTTATTCACATTGATACATAAAAAATTACAAATTCAAATCATATATAATGTCCTCAAAGGGAATCAGACACAAAATCTCTATAACTTTAATAATTTCAGTTCTCAAATGGGTTCTGATTAATTATGTGACATGTCATAATAACCGCAAAATTTTTATTCTAGCCAAATTATTTTTGCATATCTTTTCTGATAGAGCTCATGAATATGCATTATCAATAGTACTATAAATTCTAAAATTTTATTTAAAAATTATCCAAGAAACATCAATAGGTGCCTTAAATATACATAATCATTTTCAATGAATCATTTATCTTTAATAATACTCCATACTATTTATCATTTAACATTTGTCAATTTTTCTTCTAAAAACTTCACAAAAAAAAGTATTAAGTTCTATTATTATAATCAATCAATATCAAATTGGATGCCATACATATGTAAATCACTTATAGAAATATGATGTTTGACATAAAATCACAATGAACTTAACTTTAATTAAAGTAATGATATTTTATACTGTGATATGTGTTACAAAAAATAATATTAATTTTTAATTTAAATTATTTATTTTAATAATTTTAACCTTATCGTTCTATAAAAGTGTTACTTAAATACTTATATATAATAAATTTAGTTAAATTATTTGTTTAGTTTTATAATTTTAGTTCTATTGTGCTATAAAAGTGTAATTATCATATAATAGTTTTATATGATATATATTAAATTATAAGATAGTAAAATAAACACTCATTTTGATATTAAAAATAATAGTTAAATTAAAAAGATAATTAATAATATAAAAATTAAAAGTGATTCTAATTATTTAATTTTAATTTTATATTTATTTAGAAAATAAAAATATGTGGAAATAGAACTACACAAAGTTTATTTAAAAGATTAAATATAAATGTATTGTGATTAGATTTAGAAGCAAATATATAAATTAATTATATAGAATATTAATTTTTTTTGTTAATATTATTTTTGAATTATTCATACATATTGTATATAGGCATACAAATTTAAATTAAATATAAATATTTTGTAATAAATAATTTCATATTAAATAAATAATTAAATATCAATTAATATTAAGGCATCAATATGATAGACAAACAATAAAAAAATATAAAAGAAAATTAATTTGAACCTTACAATACACATAATTAAGCAAATTTTGTCTTATTTATTTATTTGTATATCAAGATAAAAAAAATTCAAATATTACAATAATTAAATTAAAATACAAACTATATATAAAAAAACTGACGATGACAAAACTAAATACACGATGAAAAATATATGAAAAATAAGTATTTCTCAAATAGAGTTTATGTGACGCCCAGAAATAATTCGACATAAACTACCCACTTCCGAATAAGATATTACCCAAATCCCATTACATAAGATCAAATGTTCTACAAAATAATCTCACATGCGGTTATACATTTATTGATAAACTAGTACATGAATCTATAGCATGTAAAATCATCATATCAAAACGAATAAGGCCCTCAAGGGGCTTACAAGTTCCAAGGCAATAGCCCGGCTACACAAAATGGCCTCTCGGACCCATACACTTTAGCCCTTGGCTTTGCAGAAATTTACACAAAAATATAAGAGCAAGTACTCTTCACAATCACGTCCACGCCATCAACTCGGCGAGATCACCACATCTTTACCTGCACTAAATCCCATAGGGGTGAGCATAAAGCCCAGTAGAGAAATTCTCGCAAAGTATATACAGTTATGCTCTTTCCTCAACATAAAAATAAACATAAATGCAATGCCATGCCAAGATTAATAAATGAGGAAAATATTCGTTTTAACGCACTATTTCAAAACACCATGTTCTCAATATTATCATGTAATCTCATCAATTTCAAACTTCCAATATTAATTCAATAGGGGTGGTAAATACGACACTGGTAATCCCTAGACTGGTGTCTGCAAGCAGACTCTACGAGTACTACCAAACTGTCATTTTTACCGGTATTAACCGAAAGGCTCGACACCTATCCGCGCGGTTTTCTGGTCTTTCACCAAGGACACTCAAGCCAACTTATCAAGTACAACTACACCCCCTATCCGGACTTACCACGTATTTACCCTATATCACATTGCCATGGTTCTCATTGCATTATTATGTTCTTTCATAAAACAATTATCTTCAATCGAAAGTTACAATGCGAAGTTAATAATAACATAAATGAGTATGTAATGCGATGATTTCTCATATCTCATAACATGCCTCCATTCTCAAAGTCTGAACAATAATGCCAACAATCATATTTCCCATTATCTCTTTTCAATGCTCTTTCCAAGATAACCATTTGTTATCTACACTTAGCCACATTTCACCGTTCACCATATTTGATAAGGTAATCTCATCAAGACTACATTTAATGTTCTTCAAACATTAAATTCCACAATTCATAACACGCAACAACTATCATCTTTCACTTAAATATTTCCTTACATTCAACAATAGTTTAAAAATAAGTCCTCCACCCTTTTATATCAAGAAAATCATCCTCCCATATATCACATTGTGAAAATCCACACTCTTTTACATATTTAAACACAAGAAAAGAAGAATGTCATAGTTTTACTCATATTTTCAAAAAACCCCAATTTCTAGGGTTTCCATCAAAAACCCTACAACCCTCCCATTTCATGGTGAAACTCAATCAAAACCATATTTTTCTTAATTTGGCACAAAGAACATTCTTATGGATAAAAATAAGTTGAGATTTAAGACCCCTCCTTCAAAACTCCCCTTTCTCTCTCTTCATTTAATGCAAGATCAACATTAACACCACAACCTCATGAACGCTTTAAAATCAACATTTAGGAAGCAAAACTTGTATATATGACTCAAGAATTCCCTACCTCAAACTTGATGATGAAGAGAAAGTGGAATCCTTGCTTTGATGGAAGATCCTTCAACTTCTACCACCCAAGTGAAATTCTAGCTTTATCTTGAAGATTGAAGGAGGATGATGATGATCTAAGCCCAATGGATAGCAAGATTCAAGAGTTTCTAGTGCTTTGGTTAGGGTTTTTAGAGAGAAGGAGGAGAGAAAATGTTTTTAGAGAGAGAGGGTGGGATTTTAGAATGAGATACAAACAGCCTCGAAGTGTGAAAATAATAGGTTTTCGGACCGGTCCCGCTCCGCACGTGCGGCTGGTCCTGCATTTCCCCCTCCGCGCCTACAATTTAAGTAGAATGCAACACCCTCGGGCTCCCCTCTTCCCGCACGTGCGGCTTGGCCTCCCACATGTGCGGCCCTGGGCCCCCGCACGTGTGGCCCTGGCCCAGCAGCCCAGAAAAATCCTGTCTCGCTCTCAGGCACTCCAGACCTAACCTTGTACCTCCCGGAACCGGTGGAATTCAACACCGACAAACAAAACGAGAACGAGAGCATTAATTTGAAATAACTTCCGAATGTTTCAATCCCAACGGGAACAAAAGAGGACGAAGTGGAGAGGAAAGAAAAAGAAGGAAGAATAAAGACCTGGTCATCACAGTTTATATAAAATTGGTTATTATAATTGAAATTGAGTTTGTATACAATTTTATATGTAAAATGTGATTTTTTTAGAAAAAAAAATAAGCCTTAGAATGTTCCACCTAAGTAATAAAAAAACACTATTTATATATTTATATAATAAAGCAGGATAGTTTTTGAAAATGTCTCAAAATGTATTAGAGATACGTTTTGAATCAACGGTTCATATTATTTCATCTAACCATTTAAGGATCAAGATGATTTCTTTACTTTTGTTTTTTCTCCTAAAATCTCTCTCTCTCTCTCTCTCTTTGAGTCTTTTCCCAAATTTCAAGTATAGTGCACTACTTTCTCAAACAGCAATTGTCTTCTTCATATCTAACATCACCATCTAAAACTTTGCACCCATCCAACCTTCCTCTTTCTCTTTCATGTCTCACCTCATTCTCTTTCTAAACTCTTCTATCTCTCTTTCTCTCAGCCTCACTTTCCAGATTTGAAATTTTAAAACACATATTCACTCTCTCTCTCCCCCCACGCTTTTCTCACACTCTCTCTAAACTCTCCTATCTCTCTTAAGGCTCTCAGCCTCACTTCCTCCCGCCCCAAACCCAATAACTCGGCGGCGTCATCGAACAAGCGTTGTTCTGACCCGATTCGAGAGCACCGTTGGGGACTCTGTCAATCTCATGTCTCTCTGGTTTGCAATTTTGCTTCAAATCTATGCTCTCAAAATGTGTATGTGTGTGTGTGTGTGTGTGTGTTAAGCATTGAATCACTGTTGATTTTGAGTAGATGAATTTGGGGATTTTTGAGTGTGTTATAAATCGAGATGGAGTAATAGCAGAGTGAGTTAGGGTATGTTGATTGATGTTTCGTGAATTTTTCTCTCACTCGTTTTGCACGAGGTCTTTGATGAGAGTTAACACTGCTCAATCCTTCATCAGAGGTAATAATAGGATCATCATCATCTCTCTTTCTCATTTGCCTTATTAATCTTATCTTTTTTAAAAATTTCAAACTCACTGATATAGATACAGATATAGATACAAACAAAGGCTCCCTTTGCTTCTCCAAAAAATGTGAATTTGTAATTTTTTACTCAGTCTAATTTGTAATTTTCATTTAATTTTATGTTCATTTAGTTCATTAAGGTCTATATCCTTCAACTTTAATTTTGGCCATTCCATTTTTGTTTCTTTTCTTCAATTTAGTATAAATTAGGCCTATGTGTGTGTTTGGTTATCATGAATTGTTTATTGTTTTTGTTGAATTAGTGCTTTGCTTTGTGTTTTGGATACCTAACTAGGGTCTTTTATTTGTGTTTTGAACATATATAAGGTTCTATTATTTTTGGTGTGATTTGATTGGCAGAGGAGAATGGGATTTCTTACACCTGATCAGACTGGGGATCATAAGATGTTTATCATGCTCTTTTTTATGTTGCCGATTATTTTTGGATACCTTTTGGTTTTTTTTTATTTTTATGTTAATTATATATGAGCAAATGATGATTTATATCAAATGTTTGTGGCAATGCTCTATTTGAACTTTCATATGCAGAGAACGCCTTTTTTCTAGGGAAGAACTTTTATCTTGTTTGAACACTTGAACATGCCACCTATGTATAATGACATCCTGTTCTTCCTAATGAGATTTCATTCCTGATTCTTCATTCTACTGTTTCTCTCTCTCTCTCATTATGAATTCCCTCACCCTGGTTCTATTTATACGCACTGATCTGAATTAGCATCTGCAGTGCTTACAGTCCATTGGGTATATTGCATTGCATCATTTAGGTTATGGCTAGATGTGAGTTACGAAAAAAGTATTTCAATGATTATTTTTCAGGTATCTTTTATAGGTTTTGTAGATGGATTAGTTGATGTTTCTCAGAAACACTTTCCATTTTCAGCCAAAAGTTAGACAAGGATATGGGTTCATGCACACACACAAAACAATCAGAGTGTGATTTGTTGTCGTCCTTTCCTATCTTGTATTATTTATTATTTTTTCTCTTTGGTGGTTTGGTGTGCTTGTGCACATGCATGTGTGTACACTTTTGGCATCAAGGATATGAATCTTGCATGTGTACCAAGCAATAGAAGCTTGATTTATTGTTCTTCTTTTGGGATGTATATGTGCACCATAGTAAACTGTCTCAGGCTTCATTTAGGGATGCCTAGATCAGATGACCATGTTTTCTCAAGCAAAACTTGAACAAATAAAAGTTTGTCCTCCATATGCACTTAACACAATTGTTTCTTGAATCTCACCCTATTGTCAAGTTCTGTCTGTGACAAATACTATCTGTATTATATCATTGTTTGGAGGTTGGTCTGAAATATTACCAGAAATTGTCCAAAAGTTTAGTAGTGTGAATCATGTATATCATATCTTTTAGACTCATGGATTGGTTTTAAGACATTGAAGAATTGGATGCATGCTAAAATGCTATTATCAATCTGACTTGTTATTTGTTAATTCGAGTCTTTTGTGTAAGAGCAGCAGCAAAAACAACTTGAACTCATTCTGGCAATTGGAAAGACTGGAAAGGTATAATTTTGTGTGTACATGGACATTACATCATGTGTCTTTAGGAAAACTTGTGCTGCTGCTTGTTATTCTTTGGGTTTCCATCATGTATCTTTTTTTGTATTTAGTTGCTATCCTTCCAGTTGTCCAGAAGCAGCACCAACTTCTTATGACTTTGCTCCTATGTCATGCATGCACTATGGAGGTTAGTGAATGGAATTTATATTTCTAGTAAATATATGAAATTTTGTCTTCACTGTGGAGGTTAACCTTTGCTTTGTATTATGGAGGTTAACCTTTGCTTTGTATTTTTTTTTTTATTTTTTCGTTTAAATTATTTGTGTGCTTTCCATCATGTATCTTTTTTTGTATTTAGTTGCTATCCTTCCAGTTGTCCAGAAGCAGCACCAACTTCTTATGACTTTGCTCCTATGTCATGCATGCACTATGGAGGTTAGTGAATGGAATTTATATTTCTAGTAAATATAGAAATTTTGTCTTCACTGTCTGGAATTAACCTTTGCTTTGTATTTTTTTTTTTATTTTTTCGTTTAAATTATTTGTGTGCATGGTACTCTATTTTTACTATCTTATAATTATTTCCTCATTTGACATCTTGGGGATGTATTTATAATGGTAATTATTAGTTAAGTTTATTTGATAAGTGTGCCTCAATTTTGTGTGATTCTTGAAAGAAGTTTGTTAGATGTTTCAAAATAAAAATTTCAGGCTGTTTCTGCATACAATAACTTAAATGAATGCTTTAGATGTAATGACAAATTAATGCTTTAGTGAGAGTTAGGTGTTTCATTAAGGATTTTGCTTCATCTTGTGTTCACATGCAATATTGTGAACAAGATCATTTCTGGTCTGAAGTTTGCAAACTGATTTAGATATACCAATTTATTTATTTTGTGTCCTAAATGAATCAATTAAATGACAGCTTTATCTTAAAAAATTAATTTCTATTTGCTAATGATCTGTTGTCTGTTTGCAAGTTTCATGGTTGTATAATTTAAAAACTTAATATAACAAGACTTCTAAAGGCAATGTATATAAATTATTTTGAGACCCATTTCATTGAGTTCTTAGATATGATGCATGGGAGCTCAAGAAGCAATATGCACATTCTTAATATAGCGACATGGTATGTCTATTAGTTTAATGACTTTGTGTTACATCCTAATTATATCTTCACTCATCATTTAAGAATTGCATGCTCTGTCCAACCTATCCCCCTCAAGACTCAATCTCATTCATTCAATCAAACAAATAAAATTTTAATTCTTGTTTAAGGAAGTGCTTTTATTTATTTATTTATTTTTGTTGGTCTTTCTATTTTTGTTTCCTCTAAATTATAGGGGCTGTATTTGGTTAGGAAGGCTTTGAAAAGCTGCCAGATGTGAGAGAGAGAGGAAGAGATCTCAAACATCCTTCGTCTACCGCTTATCTCTAATCTAACCTCAAACATCCTTATCCTCTTTTTTAAATTTTTATTTATTTCCATTCATGGGGGGAAAAAATTAAAAATGAAGGAACACTTATTGCTTTGTATATTTTGTGGATAAACGATTGCTTCTAGGGAACTGGGTTTACTATGTTAAACTCTATGCATTGGCTAAATCATAAAATACTAAAGCAAATTTTGCTTTAACATGCTACATGAATAGGTGTTTCTCCTGAAGAAGGCACGGGGGCAACGATATCTGATGACAATGATGATCAAGTATATAGTGACACCAACATTTTCGATGGAAGTTTTGATGAATAGGTATTTTACTATTCTAGAACTTTAATTGATGAAATTGTTTCTCAACAAAAAACTGTTGCAGATATATATTAGTATAAATTATTGTGTATCAAGCTATGAATTGATGCATATTGTGAAGAGGAATTGATAGATTGAATTGTCCTCTGTTTTTGGTTTCTTAGCTTTTGTAAGAGAAATGATCAGGTATTTGCTTTAAAGCCTGGATTTCCTTGAAATATGTTAGTTCATGATCAACATGTGAAGCCTAGCAATTTTAATGCTTGTTAAAGATACAAATTTTTACATTTTAGTTTTGTAGTATTGGACTGTCTAAAAATCAATCGCGATTGATACTATCTTATTCTTCCGAATTAGTGATGTTCATTTTATTCTTCTGAATTAAGTGCCAAGAGTCAACAGCATATTACATTAATTAATTAACTCATTACTTGTTATTGCATGTTTCGTATTTACAGTATGATAAGGATCAGGTATTTGTTAGTTATTTTAACTTAACTACTAGTACTTATAATTTATACTTTCTCTTACAGCAAACGCGAGCTGAAACAAAGCTGCCTCGAGCAGCACTACTTTGAACACTAGGAAGCTCAACGAAGAGATAGAGAATCTTTCTCATGAGTATATTTTAAATTCGAGTGTGCACGTGTATATATATATATGACTCATTTACTTCTTGTAAATTCCTTGTACATTTTCTGAATGAATTTTACAATTCATTTAAACTTCTTTCCACATGGAGATGATATATGTGTTGATACACCTATTAACTTTCTTTGGTGATGTGAGTCATGTGGCCTTGTTTATTTAGAATTTTTCTTAGCACTGGATATACATTTTGTATAGAATAATTTACACAACTTTAAACCTGCTTTGGTGTCACACCACTAGCACCATGCAATTTATTTATTTTTTAAAATAGGATATAAGTTTTTCTTGGTACTTTGAATAATTTCTAATTCTATGCTTTCTTGTTTTTTTTTTTATTTTGTTTTTTTGCAACGGAAAAATAGCGGTAGCCATAAGTAGTTTAGGCGGTCGCGAATAATTTGCGACTGTTGCTATGCTGTCACAAAAAGTATTTGCCATCCTTACATTTGCGACACCCATTTGCCGTCACAAAAGATCTTTTGCAACTGTATTTTTATTATTTGCGACGGTTTATAGCGGTCACAAAAACTGTTTTTTTTAGTAGTGTGTTTCGAATATGATATGCATGTTCATTTTTCCTATGTACTAGATTAATATTCACATGTTGGTTAGATCCTAGATTTGTAGGAAATTTACATGTTCTTTGTTTCTAGATTTTAGTTGGTTACATGGTTATAATTTTTTAGAATATTTGCATGATTTTAATTGATAGAATTATTTACATGTTTAATGTGTAATAAGTTCATATGTAACTCTTGCTAGTTAAATTTTTAATTTAAGTATTTGGAGTAATAAAGTTTTGTAACTTGTCTATATTTATTTACATGTTTATTGTGTAAATTAAATTTTAAATTTGATTGTGAAGTTTTAAGGTTTATTTGTGTAATCTGTATAGCATTTTAATTTTAATTTTTTGCTATTGATTAGATTGCTAGATAAGGTTTCATTCCCATCTCTCTTCATTCACTACTTTGCCAAAAGCAAAGAAAAGCTGAGGGGATAAAATTTTGTCATCCTTCAATCACTACTTTGCCAAAAGTAAAGAAAAGCTGAGGGATGTTTTGTGAATAATGTGTGCATTATATTTTATTATGGTTTTCTGCTAACCTTCTCACTATAGGAATACCTATGCGAAAGGGATTGGAAAAAAAAATTCAAATCCAAAGGAATAGAATTTGGGGTTGAAATAAAAACATTTTTGGGCTACTAACCTTTTTGTTGAACAGGAATACCTAAGTGTGGAAAGGAGTTTTTTGGACTAAATTTGAAGCAATTGTTTGCTTGAGTTTGAACTATGGTTATTTACCTATGTGTAGAAGCAAGTTTTATTTGCTTGTAATTGTTGTAGCAATTTTGTTTTAATTGCTTGTATTTGGTTAGCAATTTTTCAATTGCATGTAAGTTTGAAACTTGGTTTGTGTTAACCTAGTTCATCCCTTTGAAATTTTAATTCTAAAAATTGTTTCCCATGGATTAGGAATCAATATGTTCTTGAAAGTTTTGTCTAAGGTTAACTGAGTTTTAAGTGGGACCGATGTGACCTTTCTAATCTTCCTAGAAACATTATTGACCATGTTCGATTCTAAGGAAGTGGTGAGACTAGTTTTGAATTAAATTTCTAACTTTAGGATTTTCTAGTGTTAAGTTTAATTTTTGGAAAAACAAAATAGTGAAATTCTGTTGTATTTTTTAGAAATGACAATTGTCACTAATGCTGCTGCTAATGTCGATGGGGATCAGAATCCCGAGGCAATTGGCTTGCCAACCCCTGTTGCTGTGATCTCTGTAGTCAACCCTATTGTTACTCCTGTTGTTCTGGGAGGCCCGCCCAACCATCATAAGTACCTGGAGAAGTTCACGGGTGTGAATTTCAAGAGGTGGCAGCAGAAGATGCTGTTCTACCTGGCTACCACTAGCCATGGAGAAGAATAAGCAAGACAAGCAGAAGCTCACGACTCTAGATGCTTGGAAGCAGTCAGACTTTCTTTGCCAAAACTATATTCTGAATGGCTTGGCAGGTCCACTTTTTAGAGTGTTTTATGCCAAGAAGTCGGCAAAGGAGCTGTGGGATGCTTTGGACAAGAAGTACAAGACCGAGGATGCTGGGGCAAAATAATTTGTTGTTGGCCAGTTTCTGGACTTCAAAATGGTGGATTCAAAAACCATAATTAGTTAGTTCCAAGATTTCTAAGTGATTCTGCATGAGATACATGCAGAGGGAATGTTTCTGAGTGAATCCTTCTAAGCAGCTGCTTTGATTGAGAAGCTGCCTAATGGCTAGAAAGACTTCAAAAACTACTTGAAGCACAAGCGAAAGGAAATGGCAGTCGAAGAGCTTGTTGTCAGGTTCCGCATTGAGGAAGACAACAGGAAGAGGGAGCACCTCCACTTTGAAAGCAAATGTGGTTGAGCATGGCGAGTCCTCGAGGGTGAAGAAAAAGCCACCGACAGGCAAAAACTCAAAGTTGAGGCCTAGAGGCGGAGTCTCTAAGAGACCGGTTTACAAGCCAAAGGAACCTACTTTTAGGTTCAATGGAAAGTGCTTCAATTGCGGAAGCGATGGGCATCGGGCAGCTGATTGCTAGAAGAAGAAGAAGCCCTAAAGAAGAACCCTCCACAAAACAAAAGTTGGGCTCACATGGCTGAAATGGAGGATCTGTCACAAGATGTGGACGACATGCATCTGTCAGCTGTCATCTCTAAAGTGAATATAGTGGGGTCAAACCCAAAGGAATGGTGGGTGGACACTGGGGCCACTCGCTACATCTGTGTTGAGAAGATGTTCACAACTTTTGAACCGATTTCAAATGGTGAGAAGTTGTTCATGGGGAATTCTGCAACCTTAACTGTTGCGGGGAAATGCAAGGTGGTCCTGAAGATGATTTCAGGAAAAGAGCTGACTTTGAACGATGTCTTATATGTGCCGGACATTCGTAAGAACCTTATCTTAAGGTCGCTCTTGAGTAAGCATGGCTTCCGTATGGTGTTTGAGGCTGATAAGGTCGTGTTGACCAAGAACGGGGTGTATGTGAGGAAGGATATATGTCGAGTGGTATCTTTAAGCTAAATGTAATGACTATTATCTGGAAAATTAATGAGAAAGCTTCTTCTTCTACTTATACGCTTGAATCCCCTAATTTATGGCATGGTAGATTGGGTCATGTAAATTTTGACTCTTTGCGTAGATTAATCAAGTTAGATCATATATCATCTTTCAAGATTAATCCAAATTACAAGTGTGAAACTTGTGTAGAAGCAAAATTGACAAGGACTTGTTTTCATTCTGTTAAAAGAAGTATTGAGCCTTTAGATTTAGTGCACAGTGATGTGTGTGACTTGAAAGTCGTACAATCACGTGGTGGCAACAAGTACTTCATCACTTTTGTCAATGATTGCACTAAAACTGTTATGTGTATTTGCTTAAAAGCAAAGATGAAGCGATTGATAAATTTATTTTTTGCAAGAATAAAGTTGAGAATTAACTAAGCTGAAAGATCAAGGCTTTAAGAAGTGATCGTGGTAGTGAGTATGAATCCCCGTTTGCTGAGATTTGTGCTCAATTTGGGATTATTCACCAAACCACAGCGCCATACTTCCCTCAGCCAAATGGTGTTGTTGAGTAGAAAAATAAGACGTTAAAAGAAATGATGAATGCGATGTTAATAAGTTTTGGGTTGCCACAGAACTTGTGAGTGTAACGCCCTCAAAATAATAACATTAAACCCATCAGATAAGACATGCATTTACATATAAACTAACCACATTCCTTTATTTTATTGAGTTCCATTACATAAGTATTACATGTTAACATCAAAACAAAATGCCCTACGGGCTTACAGCTTTCCAAGTTAACACTTGGTTACAACAAAGAGTACTAACTCGTTACACATTAAGCCCTTGGCTTGAAGTTACATGTAATACATCAAAAGTAAAACAACAGAACATGTCCGCCTCTAGCCTCCCAGCTATGTCCTTGGAGGTGGCATGCTTCCTGCACCTGAAAATGATATTCCCATATAGGGTGAGCCACAGCCCAGTAGAAATACACTAAACCAACCATGAACAATGACAAAAATATTAGCAATTGATAGATGGCCAACACTGATACAATCACATAAATCACATATTTATGTCAATCTGTAGCCAACATTGACATTTGAAGAATGTCCTCATTATGCCTATCTTTTTATCCTTCTGCCTTTAGGTGACTTTTAGCAATTCAAGTTCTCTTTAATTTTCCTTCTCAAGCAAACGCCTAGGTTAGGAACTCTCTCCCTTACAATTGTTTATTAGCTCATCACTTTCTTTCTTGATATGCAATGGGTTAATGAATATTAACATTGAATGGGCTA